CCCGTATTCTGCATCTCCTTTACATCTTTCTCTCCCCCAAAGCTGACATTCTGTGTCTTATTTTACAACTCTAACCTACTCCATGAATCGTATTAGTTGACATGACAGTGTCTCACGGTACAGAGGTGGACCTAGTGAAACACAATGCATCTTCTCACTACTTTCCTACAGTGTAGAAGACAATGACTATTTCACTGGCCCACCCCTTCTCATATTTTACGATTATCTCAACCTTCTGTCCTGTTTCCCCACAGCAGATTGCTCTCATTGCTAATACCCCATGGGCGTTTCTGTACAGAGCAGACCACTGAAGCAGAACTCTGAGGTTGCTAGATGTCTTGAAAAAATCCCAGATTTCCACAGTCTAACACAACCCTCACCAACAGTTTCCTCTACTTTCCTTACTTATAGTTCACCAAATTACTGACACTCCACGGAGACTAATCAGATACTGTCCTGTACAGATGCCAGTCCAGCTTACAGTGTGACCTGACAAAGCTGTCTTTCCTGTGCTCTGTGACTGCTCCGTCCCGCCATTAGGGTACTTCTATGGAAATGCTCGATGTGCATCCACGTAAAAGGCCGAGTGGCCTTGTGAACAAAAGCTCTTCTTTCCCCTTTATTATGTTCCCTTGACACTTTTGTGTACACTAAATAGCCTGATACAAACATTTTGTAAAAATTTGTATAATACTGTTATAAAAATATTTATAATCCCAGAAAATGTTCTCTTACATCTTGCGCAGAAACAGTATATTCAGAATAAAAGTTTATCATTTAAAGTCATCAGACTGGACTATGTACTTACTTAAAATCCGGTTATAAGACGCAGCGGTCTCTATCATACACACTCTTTACTTCTTTACTCAACAAAGCAGGCCTTGCTCGGGAGACAATTCTACATTATGGACATGCACTTTGGGATTACGAAAGTGCTTACACAACAAAAACCTCAACCCACAAACACAGGTCACTGCAACTTCTTTGCGTAACTCTGACCCTCCTCGCGTGGGCTTCTGTCACCCAGGCAATGAGGACCTCATTCAACCACACTTCTGATGGCTGTTACAAAATTCTTCCCTACCCAAACAATAACACTTCCATGTTTTCTGACCACCTGGGGAACCTACTTTGAAAGACAGAACCTACAACACATGAAAGCTGCAACCCTTTCTCACGTCTCATATTTAAACCTCTCTCCGAGCGTCTTCATAGCAAACACAAGCTTAAACAATGAGGTACAGCATTAACAGTTACAAAGCCACCTTGCTCTGACCCTCTGACCTTGACACCACCTTACCGCGGGCCTTCCTACGCTCCCCTGATAAGTACTGAGTCCCATGTTGTGTCGAATCCAATATAATGTAGGCCTGCTTTTCCTTCTGAGGAGCCCATAAGACAGTAAACACCTCCACACGGGAGGGCTGCGTTACGTAGGCAGCACTGCCGGGGATTACTGCACAGTGGGACCCCTACTTCCTGACCAAGGCATGCTAACAAGACAATCCTACTATACAGGGTAAGGTGGATAACATTGCCTTTTTGAAGATCTGGCTTCACTCTGTACCTAATTATCTCCTTAATCGATCCTGCTACTCCCCCAGACGCTCACTTCCTCTATCAATCATCTTAATCCTATCCGCACCTCTTCCCTTCGAACTTTGCCTGATCATTTCTCCTTCCTCACACATACTCAGTCTGCCCTCTCTGTGAGCTTCCTTCCCTCTGCCTGCAAACACACTCAGAACACCTCTACTTAACACACAGTACTCACATACGCAACACTGCCCACTCGCCCCTACACTTCTAAGAGTTACAATCCTTGATTTAGAGTATTTTTTTCTCCTACCTCAGACACCTACTGGCAGTGTCTTCTCGCAATCTGCTCCACAAGGCCTCAGATTCTCTGATCTGAACGGCACATTATCTCTGACCTCCATTTTCGCACGACCACCGAACCTTCCTAGTAACTGGTGTGACGCCGTAACACATTTAACCTCTTGGGCCTTTCGTGATTCTCAAATGCCTCCTATCTCACAGCGGAGTTATCCACAAAGCTCCGACACAATTTTCCATACATTGATATATCAGCAACAATGCTACTTATTTTAATACCGTTTACATGGCCTCCATTTTTTTCATACACGCATTTCCGACACACACTGATATCTCTGCCACAAGTGGAAATCCCATACAATTTGCTGTCTTACCCAGTCATATCACAGGGTCATATCTACTATAACAATGAAGCACAAAATCAGTCACCATATACCAGACCCACCTGTGCCAGCTTCAACCTAGTATTTACATACTGCGTTCCACACATCACAATAAATATTCAACACAGTTACTATAATAACAGGGCATTTTTTCCATTTCTGCTGTGAATACTTTACACCATAAACCTCCACTCAACCATCTGACTACACACTGTAATTAATACATTAAAAATATACACCAAAAGGCATACTCATGAAAATTTTTCCCACACTCTGAGTTTTCTCAGGTGCTTGCTTTCTCTTCCAAAACGCTTCACCCTAATCGGACCAGGTTCTGAGACTCTCAAGACCCCACCACCATGTCTTCAGCAGTGACCGCAGACCACTCTCATGCACGTCAGAACACTGTACCATGCCTAGGCTGGACTCACATTCCCACCTTCCTACATTGAGAGGGACCTCTCTTCACACGTACTCGCTTCTCTTGAATGGCGCACCAAACACACGACCTTTCCTTTGTCACACTGTGCGGCACTTGACAATACTTACTGTAAATAGCGAAATTCTTAATAACCTACTCTTAGCTGCCATGACCCTCCTTTTTTACTCTCAAAATTATACTCATCTCTAAAAATCCCTAAATCGGATACCTATACACCTAGCACTTCAGAAAGGCAATACAGCCAAGACATACATGCAGTCTGCTGTTTACACTCGGATTTACCACGTATCACCTTCAGAACCATTGGCAAATTACAAACTGCTTCCCACCCTCAGTTTCCTCATCCATAACACAATAACGGTAACTACACTGCCGGACTGCCACGATAACCAAGTGATATCATCAATGCACAGCACATACCACAACAATACTTAGGAATCACTCTGACCAAGGAGCCGTAAGACTTACACTTGGGAAACTTCAAAACATAGAGGAAAGTACAGATGATTCACAGACATGGAAACATCCCCCATGCTTTTCGGCTCTTGGATTGGAACACTCCATACCCTTCAACTGCCCATACTGCCCAGGACAACCTACAGACTTCCTACAATCCCTATGAAATTACCCAGGACATTTTCCACAGACCTACAACAAACAAACCGAAAATTTATAAGCAATCACAGAAGACTCACCATTGCCAAAGCAACTCTGAGGCAATGGAATAAAGCTGCAGGCGTCACCCTCCCAGATGTGCACCACTCCTATGAACAGTAGTATCACAACAGTTTGCTGCTGGCACACAAACAGCCATGGGCATCAACGGAAAAGAATACAAAGCCCAGAAATAAACCCACACACCTATAGGCAATTCATCTTCACAGCCGACAAAAGACTACAATGCAGCAAACACAGTCTCTTCACAAACTGCTGTGCAGAAAGCCTGACAGCCACATGTCCATCAGGGCAGTCAGGACCCTCCCTCATGGCACACAAACACATACAAACTGCCCTGAAGACTCCAACACAACAGATGACACTGCAAAACTCCTAGAGGAGACCCGACGCAAAATATTCTCTGACATACATTGTAGCAGTACTTCTCTAGACCACTTTCCCAAAGCAAAAGACATAAAAGCAACAATAAATCATTTGCACCTAAAACACGTTACAGATTTTTACACCGCAAATACAACCATACACAAAATGAAAACACAGCTTACCGAACTGGAG